CTCGGCCTCAGACGTCACCCACAACTCCACCCTGCTCTCCTGGACCGCAGAGGGGGCCTTCGGCTCCTTCCTCCTGCAGTACAAGGACGCGGAGGGCAAGCCCCAGGCGCTGCCCATGGACGGGGGATCCCGCACAGTCACCGTAACCAACCTGGCCCCCTCCCACAGATACAAGTTCAACCTCTACGGCATCTCCGGCCACAAGCGCCTCGGCCCCGTCTCCACTGACGCCATCACAGGTCAGTGGCTTTCCCCTTCCCCTCCCGCCCCCTTTGCTTTGCAGTGTGGTCGGGTTAACACATAGGACAGGTGGAGAACGGAGCCAGTTTCCACCTCCCCATGCTCACGGACTCTCCTGGCACCTCCATACCCCGCTGGCACCCGCAGGCTGGGGGCCCTGAGACAGGCGCTGCTGCGTGGTGGCTTTGACCGTCTCAAACCAGAGTCCCCCCATAATCCCCCAGGGGGCAGGGTCCGCTCCTGCCGGGCCCCGGCTCGTTGGCCCCTGGGGCTCGCTGGCTCTTGTCCGGGCCGGGCCGGCGCCCTCTCCGTGGGACGCTGGTCACCGCAGGGCTGGAGCTGCCACGTCTGAGCACCTGGTGTCTCAGAGCAGCACCAACCCCTCTGGGGCCCGTGGGGCGCAGCAGGGACCCCTGAGCCCACCTGCGTCTGCAGCTCCCGAGCCGGAGCCCCCCAGGGTAGCGCCCGCCCGTCCCCTCGCTGGCTGGGCCCTGCCCCTGGGCTGCCAGTCCAGGTCACCCGCCCCACGCAGTCGCCTCCCCAGAGCCCAGCAGGGGCGGCCAGTCCCTCTGTACCCACCCCAAGCCAGGCCTGGGGCTGGGCTCGGGGTTAGCTGCCGTCCATTGGGCAGGGCCCCCACAGACTCGGTCTGGGGCTCCAGGAGCTGGGAAGCCCCTCGGGGGGTGGAGGGGGAGGGTCACACAAATCTGCTCCCACCCCTTTCCTGCTACTTCTTTCTCCCTTTCCTACACCCCACCCAGCCCCCCCCCCCCTCCTCCTACTTCCTCCCCCCTTTCCCCCCCCCCCCCTCCCCCCCCCCCCCCCCCGCACACCTGCCCTGCTCCACAAGCCACATCTCTGCCCCTTTCCCTTGGGAACTCAGTGTCTGGGGCTTTGCTCCCACTACGCCCTCTACTCCATCAGTTCCACCCCAGCGGGGTGGCCCTCCTGCTCCGATCCCAGGGCTACGCTGCCTGGGTCTGCAGAGAGCCTGCGCCCGTTGCTCCAGCAGGCAGGGCTGCCTCTATTTGCCTGTCCAGGCGTTCCCACACCCTGTGCCCCTCTCTCTGTTCCAGCCGCAGTACCGCGGGACAAGGGAGCCGGGACGCAGCTACGCCTGGGGAAGCTCTCAGCCTCCGGTGTCACCCACAACTCCACCCTCCTCTCCTGGACTGTGGAGGAGGGGACCTTCGACTCTTTCATCCTCCAGTACAAGGACGCGGAGGGCAAACCCCAGGCACTGCCCGTGGATGGGGGATCACGCACAGTCACAGTAACCAACCTGGCCCCATCCCGCAGATACAAGTTCAACCTCTACGGCATCTCTGGCCGCAAGCGCCTCGGCCCTGTCTCCACCGACACCGTCACAGGTCAGCGGCTGCTCCCGGGGCACTGGCTCCTTCCCCTCCCACCCCCCTTTGCTTTGCAGTGGGGTCGGGACAGCAGCCGCCAGTTGGGACCTTCCTGGGAAGACGCTTCCCAGACTCCAACCTCCATGACCTGTCTACCGGCCATTCAACAGATAGAGGAGTGTGGATGGGGATGGATGGGTGGATAGACAGACAGAGAGATGGATCTATGTGTATGGGGTGCATGGATGAATGCATGAATAGATAGATAGATGGATGTCTGTGTATGGAAATCGGTGGGGATGGATGGATGGAGGGAGGGAGGGGATCTCATGGATGGATAGACTGATTAATGGCTGTGTATAGGGATGGAGAAGGAGATGGATGGCGGATGGATGGATGGATAAGGAGATGAATGGATGGGGATGGAGCGGATGGATGTGTATGGGGATGGATGGATAATGAGATGGATGGATGTGGATGGGGATTGATGGATAAGGAGATGAATAGATGTGGATGGGGATGGAGCCGATGGATACATGGATGGATGTGGATGGGGATGGATGGAGAAGGAGATGGATGGATATGGATGGGGATGGAGCGGATGGATAAATGGATGGATGTGCATGGGGATGGAGCGGATGGGGATGGATGGATGGATAAGGAGATGGATGGGTGGGGATGGGGATCGAGCGGATGGATAGATGAATGGATGCGGATGGGGATGGATGGATAAGGAGATGGATGGATGTGAATGGATGTGTATGGGGATGGTTGGGGATGGAGCGGATGGATAGATGAATGGGTGTGGATGGGGATGGATGGAGTTTACGGAACTGGATGGGTGTTTTGGGGGATGCATGGCAGACATGAGCGTGTCTGGGAACCCTTTTGCAGCGGACAGGTACAAGGGCTATGCTGGGTAGGGTCATGGATGCCTGGATAGATGGATGGATGGGGGAGCGTATGACGATGGTGGTTTGGGTGTTTCTGGGGATGGGTGGGTGTCAATGGGGATCTTTCCATTGACGTTGGAGGCTTTGGTTAAACCCCTTCTCTTTCTCTCTCATTTGTTCTTCCTTCCCCCTCTCTCCTCCCGTCTCAGCTCAGCTCTCACTGAGGTTTGTTGCTCTGGGCCGACCCCTCCATGGAGGGAGGGTGGCCGTGGAAACCTGGGAATGTGGGATCCTCTTTGCAGACATGCCCCGTCCGTCTGTCTGTCCCCAGCTCTCCTTCCCGGCAGCAGGATCCGTCACTGTCCTGGGGCCGGTCCCTGGGGCTCTCTGCCCCCCCCCCCCACTATTCCTCTCTGCAGATCCCCTCTAGCTAGGAATTACCTGCCCCGCAAGGACCCGGCGAGCTGCCGCCACCCCGGCCGTGTTCTTCACATCCCTCTCTCTGTTCCAGCCGCAGCCCTGCAGAAGGAAGAACCCACCCCCCATCCCAGCCTGGGGGAGCTCTCGGCCTCCGACGTCACCCACGACTCCACCCTGCTCTCCTGGACCGCGGAGGAGGGGACCTTCGACTCCTTCCTCCTCCAGTACAAGGACGCAGAGGGCAAACCCCAGGCACTGCCCCTGGACGGGGGATCCCGCACAGTCACCGTAACCAACCTGGCACCTTCCCGCAGATACAAGTTCAACCTCTACGGCATCTCCGGCCGCAAGCGCCTCGGCCCCGTCTCCACCGACGCCGTCACAGGTCAGCGGCTGCCGGGGGGAGGGTCTCATCCAGCGCCTGCCTCCTTCCTCCTCCCTCCACCAGGTCTTTCCTGGGACCCCCCCTCAGTGCTTTGCTTTGCCCCTGCCTTCCCACTCCCCTGCTTCTCCCAGCCCTGCGCGGCGTATCCTCCTCCGGGATCCTTCTTCCTTCCCTCCTTGTCTCCCTTTGCCCCTTCTTCTCTTTTTTTCACTCCTCCTATCTTCCCACCGCTCCTCTGTCTGGCCCCTCCTCCACCAGGGCCCCTTCCACGTTCCTTCGCTCCCAGCCACCCTCTTCCACATCCCTTTGCTTGGTGCAATCACGGCACCAGAGGCCACATCCGAGGGATCTTGTCTCCATCAGTCACTTGAGGGGCCGCTTGCCCCGGACCTCAAAGGTGACACTGCCTGAGTTTGCAGAGAGCCTGAGCCCATCGCTCGGCAGTGGGGGAAGCTGCCTCTGTTTGCCCCGCATGCGGTTACCTCACCCTTAACCCTCCCCCTCTGTTCCAACCGCAGCGCCGCGGGATGAGGGACCCGGGATACAGCTCCGCCTGGGGCCGCTCTCGGCCTCCGACGGCACCCACGACTCCCTCGACCTGTCCTGGTCCGTGGAGGAAGGGACCTTCGACTCCTTCATCCTCCAGTACCGGGATGCAGACGGCAACTCCCAGGTGCTGCCCGTGGACGGGGGATCCCGCACCTTCACCATCACCAACCTGGCCCCCTCCCACAGATACAAGTTCAACCTCTACGGCATCTCCGGCCGCAAGCGCCTCGGCCCCGTCTCCACCGACGCCGTCACAGGTCAGCGCCGGGGAATTCCCCCTCTCTCCTCCCGCCGTCCCCCCCGCGGCAGGTGCATGATGGAATAGAATCGCCCCCTTCTCTCCGTCTCTGTGCCTCTTGGGGCGGGGGCAGGGGCCGAGGGACGCGCTTTGCGTCGGGAAGATGCCGATTCACCTCTCGAGGCACTGGCCGGGAACCGGGCTCGGCCAAGGGACCCGGGACTCCGGTCTGAGCCGCATAGCGCTGACCCTCGCCCCAGCCCAGCGCGAGCTCTTCTGGAAACAGCCCGGGTGGGTTTCACGTGAGCCGGGGACGGAGAGTCCGGCCTGGCCTGTCGGGATTGTCCGGCCGGCTAATTCCCCTCCCTGCTCCGTGCCGCCGGCCGCGATTGGCTCTGATCCACCCTCCTGCCGGCGCCATGGCCCGGGGCCGGTGGGGTCTGGCGCGTCCCAGCAGCAGCCAAGCCACCTGCAAAGAGCCTGGCCCTTGGGGCATTTGCCAACGTTTGGCAGCTTTCGTCCCGATTCCGAACGGGGCGGGCTCTGGAGACGTGGGGTCCGGGCCGGGTCTGAGCCGCTCCCCTCTCCCCAGGCCGGCCGGAGGAGGAAGACGAGGAGGAGGAGGAGGAAGGTGCCACGCAGCCCAAGCTGGGGGAGCTCTCAACCTCCGAGGTCACCAAAGACTCCGTGCGCCTCTCCTGGACCATCCAGGCCGGGGCCTTCGACTCCTTCCTCCTCCAGTACCGGGACGCGGACGGCAAACCCCAGGCGCTGCCTGTGGACGGGGGATCCCGCACGCTCGTCGTCTCCGACCTGCTGCCCTCCCGCAAGTACCAGTTCAACCTCTCCGGCGTCTCCGGCCACAAGCACCTCGGGCCCATCTCCACCGACGTCGTCACAGGTCAGCGCCGGGGGGCTGGCCGGCCAGGGCCCCTCAACAGCCTGGGGGTGCCCGACTGGATTCTACCAGCCCCCTTCCTTCCGCAGGTCTTCCCTCCGCAGCCCAGCTGTGAGCCCGGACTCCTGGGTTCTGTCCCCAGCCCTGGGAGGGGAGTGGGGGCTGGTGGGTTAGAGTGGGGAGGCTGGGAGCCAGGACTCCTGGGTTCTCTCCCCGGCTCTGCCTCTGACCTTCCGGGTGACCATGCAAGAAGCCCCATACCCACCCCATGCCTCGGTTTCCCCACCTGTAACACAGGGCTAACGATCCCATTGCGCCACTGACGAGCTGTGGGGACAGGCCCTTCTCTGCTGGGCCTCACCCATGTGCCCCCTGCTCCTGACCCCTCATTCCTGTCCTCCCTCCCTCCGTCCGTCCCCCCGGCAGTTAACCCTTTCCACTCTGTGCCAGAGCCCCATGGGACAAAATTAACTAACCTGCTCCCAGGGCCCCGGTCAGTGCCTGGCTCCCGACCAGGTGCATGATGGGATAGAATTAACCCCTTCTTGCCTGGCCCCGGCCCCCCTGGCACCATCTCCCCCAGGGACAATTAACCCCGTCCTGCCCTTGCGGGAGCCTGACCCCCCTCCTGCCCCCGCAGCCTTCCCGGAAGCCTCCAGCGTGACGCCCGCCCGGCTGGACCAGCTGCTCGTCTCCGAGGTGACCCCCACCTCCCTGCGGCTGCGCTGGGACGCGCCCGAGGGCGACTTCGACACCTTCCTCATCCGGTACCGGGCCGCGGGCCGGGGGCCCGGGCTGGGGCCGGCGCCCACCCAGGAAGTGCCAGTGCCGGGGGCCCAGCGTTCAGCCGTGCTGCGGGGGCTGCGGCCCGGCACCGAATACGGCCTGGCGGTGTACGGCCTGCGGCAGGGCGAGGAGACGGCCAACGTCCACGGGGCCGCGCGGACCAGCAGCCTCGGTACGGCCCCCGCTGGGCTGGGCGGGGCCCGCTGGGGCACAGAGCCCGGCTGACCCCCTCGTCCCTGCAGCCCAGCACCCCCTGCTGCCCCCAGCCTGTCGCCGCGTCCCAGCGCCCCCTGCTGCCCCCAGCCTGTCACCGCGTCCCAGCGCCCCCTGCTGCCCCCTCTCTGCGGCCCCGAGCCCGGCTGCCCCCTCGTCCCAGCGCCCCTGCTGCCCCCAGCCTGTCCCCGCAGCCCAGCTCCCCATCCCTGGTGAGAGGGGCAGCGGGGGGGTGGGGGGATTGGGCAGCTGGGTGGGCCCAAGGCCTCTCCCAGGCCAGGAGGCCAGAGCCACGGAGCGGGGAGGGGGAAGGGACAGGACGGATGGAAGGATGGAGGGAGGGACAGGCGGCTGGATGAATGCTGGGGGGGTGATGGGGCGCCCCGGTGGGTCTCAAACCTCCCCCCCCCGCCAGCTGAGGGGGGGACGGGGCTCCCCAGGCTGGTGCTGCCCCCCAGTGGCCACGCTGGGAAGGGCCCCCCGGCTGGCTCCGCCGGAGGGCCCATGCGTCCCCCTTGACCCCCATGTCTCCCCAGAGCTGGAGAGCCCCCGGGACCTGCGCTTCAGCGACGTCCGTGAGACCTCGGTGGGGGTGACCTGGGGGGCCCCGTCCACCCACGTCGACCGCTACAAGGTGTCCTTCCAGCTGCGCCACGGGGGTAAGTGCCCCACAGCGCCCCCTGCTGCTGCCCCCCACAGCGCCCCAAACCAACCCCCCACAGCGTCCCTCACTGGCCCCGCACAGCGCCCTCTGCTGCCCCCCATCTGACCCCCCACAGCGCCTCTCGCTGGCCCCCACAGCGCCCCCTGCTCCCCCCAGTGCCCCCCCCCGAGCCCCCCCCCAAACGCCCCCTGGACCCCCCCAGCCCCCCCCCCCCCAGAACTGCCTGCAGAACAGCGCCCCCTACTGGCCCTGTGCCCTGGCCCCACCCCCCGCAGCAGTTCACGTGGCCTCGCCCCTGACACGTGGCCCCGCCCCCAGCGCGTTCTGACCCGCTGTCGCCCCAGGGGAGCCGCAGAGCGCCATGGTCGAGGGCACCCGGCTGCAGACGACGCTCGAGGGGCTAATCCCCGGGGCCAGCTACGAGGTGAGCGTCATGGCCGTGCGGGGCTTCGAGGAGAGCGAGCCGCTGGTGGGCTACGTCACCACGGGTAAGGGCCGGACGCCTGGGTCCCCTCCCCTGCCCCGGGTCCCTCTCCCCTGCCCCGGGGCCAGCACCGGACGCCTGGGTCCCATCCCCTGTCCCAGGGCCACCAGCCAGACACCTGGG